ATATAATTGTCTCTCGTTATTGTTTGAAATAAATCGACTCATCCGAATTGATTGTATTCGCATAGAAAATAGAATCGGTTTGATCGATGAACGAGAGAGAAGAAAGAAAATAGATAGAATAATTTTTCTTATTTTTTTTATTCTTTTTATGATTCTCTATTTATATAACTCATTCTAATGGAACTAGTATTCTAAATAAGATCATTGACATCTATAGGGTTATTGCATCGTATTAACCCGACATGTAATACTACCAATGATAATGTACATATTCAAGTTTCAACATTCTCAAATAGCATATTGATTTCATTTATTTTATCTTCCCATTGATAGATTTATTTGATTGATAATGTCGGATGATGAATCTATTGATTCAAGATCAATAAAATTAAGAAGACACTATTCATATTGGTTGTATAGGTAAGAAATAAAAGAATATATTTATTAAATTAGAGAAATAAATTTTCAAAAATAAAATAATCAATTCAAGAAAAAAAAAGAAAAGAAAAATCTTTATTTATTAAAGTATAAATAATATGTTGAAAATCTCAAGAGAATTTCTATGATAAATAAAATAAAGAAAAATGTCTTTTTTTATATGATTAGAAATGATAAAATTGAATTAATTAATTTATTAATTCGACCAGTTATATCTACTGATATATATTATATTAAATTATTATTATCTGATTGTTCAATATTTCAACGTGGATCTATTGATTATTCAATGTATTTTTTTTCATTTCGACCAAATATATTTTATATAATTACATCTAAACAAGATATATTAGGACATGCATCTATTAAACAATGGAATATAAATAATCATAATATAATATCTGTATTTATGCTTGGTCTTGTTTATGTACGTTATGATTATAGAAAATTTGGTTTTGGAGAATTATTAACTAATTATGTATTTAATATTAAATCTGAAGAAATAAATGATATTCATGCTAATATTTTAACAGAACATTTACCATTTTATATTCGTTATGGTTTTCAAATATCATTTTCTTTAATTGGTTTTGTTGGAAAACTTAG